TGGTGGCAGATCTTGCTGGTTCTGAAGGCATGAATAATACAAGAAGTAGATGGTCATGAAGGCTTCCACCCAGATTTTAAAGGAAATCCTGGGAGGCTAAGCAGTTGGTGGTAGGCTTTGAGTCCTTGCAGGCACCCCTTGAGAGGGTGATACATTAAGTTGAAACTGCCCTGGAGACCTCAGGAAGTGAGAGAAGTCAGGAACATGAAATGTCTGCCAAGGAAAACCTCAGCCCTCAAGCAGAGTCAGCCCAAGCAGAAGGCCGATGGGCTCTAGCAGGCAAATCTGCAGAGGTAGGGCTGCCTAAGCCATTTGGAATGCACATCACTCCACAATGTGCCCCAGATACCAGGTAGAAAGCAACCGTAAGGCAATGTTTCCCTTGCAAGGTTTTGATTCATTTTCTTCTTGCTATCTTCCTAGTCCTCCCTTTTAGAGTGGGAATGTGTCTGGTGATGGTTAATTTTGGTTGTCCACTTGATTGTATCTGGAATAAACTGAGATACCTCTGGGTGGATCTGTGAGGCTGTTTCCTAGAAGGAGTAATAGGAGGAAGACCCTCCCCCTCAGTAAGTATCACCTGGCAACAGCCCAAATATAAGAGGGTCCGAGGGTGAAGCTGCTGCCTACTGACCTGCCGTAACTCCTTGCTGGTAAGTGCATCTACTCTGTTGCTGCTGCAGCTGCCATCCTTTGCGGACAGAAGAACCCAGCTTTGGTTTTTCATCATGGTCTGAAGGGAGGCTAAGCATTTGGTGGTAGACACTTCTCTAGGACTCTTCCAATCCTTCTCCTTCAGATTGGGGTTGCTGAACTAGCCAGCTTTGCGAACTGAGCAGCCGCTAGGTTCTGAGCCTCTTGAGCACGCAGGAAGCTGTTTTTGAACTTCCCTGTGTGAAGCAAGCAAATCTAACAAATCCCATTTGTAATGTATATTTATTCTATCGGTTCTTTTCCTCTAGTGGAAAACATGACTAATATATGGACCCCACCACTGTATTTTGGAAATATGCAACTTTTTTATTTTAGAGGGGCTCACAGCTAAGAATTTGACTTCAGTCTCAGAAAAGAATGGACTTCGACTTTTGAGCAACACTCAAACTGTTGGGGCTTTGGGGGACCACTGGAGATGAACTAAATGCATTTTGTATTATGACATGGACATAATGCCTTTGAGGCATGTGCTGGACAGCTTTAGTGTCAGCTTGACACACCTGGATTGAGGGAGCCCCAATTGGGGAATTGCCTCTATTGGACTGGCCTGTGGCCATGTCTGAGGGGCATCTTCGTGATGAGTGATGGCCCAGCCCACTGTGGGTGGTGCCACCCCTGGGCAGGTGGGCCTGTGTTGCATAAGAAAGCAGGCTGAGCAGGGGCCAGGGGAGCAAGCCAGTAAGCAGCGTTCCTCCATGGCCTGTGCTCCAGCTCCTGCCTCCAGGTTCCTGCCCTGAGTTCCTACCTTGGGCTCCCTGATGAACTGTGACCTGGGAGATGTAAGCTGAATAAACCCTTTCCTCCCCAAGTTGGTATTGGTCAGAGTGTTTTGTCACAGCAATGGAGAAACAAAGATAAGGCATAATGTTATGATTTAGATAGGAAGTATTCCCCCAAGAGGCTCATGTGATCAAAGCTTTGTCCCCAGATTGTGGTACAATTGAAAGCTAACTGGATCATAAGGGTGCTACCTTCATTAATAGACTAATCCATTGATGAGTTTGTAGCTGAATGAGGAGCTGGGAACTCATTAGGTCACTGAGAGCACATCTTTGAAGAGTATACCTTGTCTTGGGTCCCTCTTTTTTCTACTTCAGTCCAACCAGATTCCCATACATGATTTTCCGTGTCACCATACACAGGCTGAGAATCTATGGAGCCAAGTGACCATGGACTGAAATCTCTGAATCTGTGAGCCAGAATGAATCCTTTTTTCTCTGTTGATTTATTAATCAGAAATCTCACAAACTCAGAATGGGAATTGGGAAATAATGTAAAAATGTAGGGTGAAAAATGACCAAGGAGGAAGATATTTGAGAAAATTTTCATTGCAGTAATGGAGACTAATTTACAAGGGGCCCCAAGAATACAGCCCAATGTTAGCAATAAGGACAAGGGCTTCTAGCCACAGCCTGCTTCACCCTGTGCACCTGCCTCCCGAATCACTGAACTGATCTGTCTGCTCATTATACTTTCTCAATGTTGCTGTAACATATGATTATCACATATTGCACTTGTTCTCCTAAGGTCGGTCTCTGGATCTATGTCTGCTGTTCACGCACTGTGCCCATTTTTAAGGCTCTGGCAATCCTAGGCCAAACTCTCCCTGTGCTAAATCCTCAATCATTCCTTTTTTGGTGTATGCCATACTTTTCTCTGAACTTTAAAAATCTGTATTTTTTTATTATTATTATTTTTGTCTTTTGGAAACAGGGTCTCCCTGTAGCCCCAGCTGTTCTGGATCTATGTAGACCAGGCTGGCCTCAAACTCACAAAGATCTGCCTGCAAGAACCTGAGATCCTATTTCTAAATAAGGCCAGATTACCTGCTAGAATGCAACTGTATTGCTTACTTTTATAGATCTCACGATTAGTATGCTGAAGTCCTAACCCTCAGAACCTCCGAATGTGACTGTATTTGGAGAGAGAATGGTGGCTTCCTCCCCGCCTCCTCTCTCCTTCCCTTCTAACAGATCTCACTATGCAACCCCGTCTGGCCTGGGCTCAGTATGTAGCCCAAGCTGACCCTCCTTCCCTTCTAACAGATCTCACTATGCAACCCCGTCTGGCCTGGGCTCAGTATGTAGCCCAAGCTGACCTTGAACTTGAAATCCTCCTGCTTCAGCCTCCCTACTGCTGGGATTACAGGCATGTGCCACTAAGCCCTGCTGGAAATAGACTTTAAAGCAGTAGTAAGGTAAAGTGTGGCTGCTACCTCTCAATCCAATACTTGATATCCTCATAAGAAGAAATTAGGACATAGATCCAGAGGGTTGATTGGGTGAGGATACAGGGAGAAGGGGTCATCGACACTCCCAAATGACACCTCAGGAGGAAGCTGCTCTGCTCTGATTCAGATTTCTGGTCTGCAGGACTGTGAGAATATAAATGCCTGTTTAGCCCCCAGATTGGTGCGGTGTTACAGCACAAGCCAGGCAAGCAGTTATTTGTTTCTATGCCATAAACTGTACCAGAATACAATGATCTAGCAGGATACATTTATGACCAGTTACAGTGGGGCGAGAATCTGGACCAAGCTTCTCTGGATCCTCTGCTCTCTGTCTCTCATAGCGGGCAATCAAGTACCATCTCCCTTTATCTGACAGCTTGGCTGCAGAGGGTCATTTCCAAGGTGCAGTGCTGTTGGCAGGATTCAGTTGTGGGTTGATGGTGGGGTGCCTGGGGCGGGGGGGGGGCTCAGTCCTAACAGTTGGTCAAGGATCGTTCTTCCCTCTCATTGCCTTCTCTGACTGGCAGCTTCTTCATCAACACATTCAAGAAAACAGCAAGACCGAAGTCACATTTGTAACCTAAGAACAGTGTGACGGCCCACAATCTGCCTTGTATTGGTTAGAAGTCAGTTGCATCCAGGGGCAGGAAGGTTATAGCCCAGTGAATGCCAAGAAGCAGGCCTCACTGGGCCTTCTTCCAGGTCTGCCTACTACTGTCGGTGACCAGCCTCGCTGGGCTATTAGAGCCTGCCCCACGTGGGAGCTGGCAAACTCTGTGCAAAGGACATGGAGTCTAAAAGCTGTTTCTGTGCTGTCCTTCCCAGGAGAAAACGGGTGGGCTGCTGACGCCCCTGGGAACAGTGCTGGTTTCTGTTCACTTCATCATTTTGGGTCGGTAGCCTCATAGAGGAAAGGTGGATCTCAAGTACAGCTTGAAGGGGTACAGTGTTCATGTCTCTCTGAAGCCAACACGACTTGCTCTCTAGCTGGGTGGATTACAGCACTCAGTGTTCTCTGCTCCGCTTTAACATCTCATCTGCGGAGACAGACATCACGCCCCCTCGTCGAAGAGAGACTCCTTGTAGATCCTGGCTCCGGCCTAGGAGCCCTTCCAGTGAGTGTCTCTGATTAAAGCTGCACTAGGGGGCAGAGAGATGCCTCAGCTGTTAAAAGCTGCTGTTCCAGATGACCCAGGTTCAGCTCCCAACACTGGGCGCCTAACGGCTGGCAGGAGATCCGGGGGCTCCGACGTCCTCTTCTGGCCCCCGCGGGTTTGCACGCATGGGTGCACTTAACAAACTACTCATACACGTAATTTTTTTTTTTTGGTCTTTTTGAAGCAGGGTCTCCCTGTAGCCCCAGCTGTCCTGGAACTCACTATGTAGACCAGGCTGGCCAGGAACTCACAGAGATCCGCCTGTCTCTGCCTCCCGAGTGCTGGGACTACAGGCGTGCGCCACGACGCCCGGCGATAATTTTTTTTTAAAGCTGTGCTAACCAGACTCTGGCAACATCCTCTGCTGCCCGGCCGGACCCTCCTGGAGTCAGGCCTGTCGGCGCCGGTTCTGCAGGTTCCTCCGGCAAAGCGGTCACACCTGAGATGACCAGCGCTTCAGGGCTGGGGGCTCCTGCGGGCTCTGGGTCCCGCATGCGGGTCACTCTGGTTCTCACCGCGGGAGCCCGCAGCACTGCGCCGGGCAGCTCAGGTCAGCGGCCTGCTCCGAGGGCGGGTGAACGAGCCTCGGTGGGCGGCCCCAAGCTAGGTGGACTGGCTTTCTGCAGGGGGCTTCCGGTCGCTCCCACCTCATCTCGGACTCCTACACCCCGCTCCGTTCCCGCCTTCTCTGCCGTTCCCCACTCCGAGCCCCCGCTTTCTATCCAGCGCTGCGCGGCACCCTTCTCGGCAGCTCCAGGACGTGAGCTTCGCTGCACTTCTGAAAGGTCCCCACGGCCCCTCCCGGCCCCGCCCCTCCCGGCCTCGCCCCGCCCCCTACAAACTCTCCCCGCCCCCTCCCCTCAGCGGGAACGGGTCGTGTCTCCATCCAGCCATTGGCAGAGGCCGCCACCTCGGGCTGTCGATCCTGCCGGCCTGGCGTGGCCACGCCCCTCCGGAATGACGTCACCGGACGCTGGGAGTCGCGGGGGCTGCTGGTCCGGACCAAGATGGCCCGGTTCCTGGGATCCGCTCCTGCCCGCCCCGCAGTCACCCATTCATTTCTAGGCTGCTGAGCGGTGCGGGGCGCCGCCAGTGCCCTCCAGACCCTCTTGTCGGCCTGCGGGCGGAAGGCCGCCATGGCCACGCTGGAGAAGCTCATGAAGGCCTTCGAATCGCTCAAGTCGTTCCAGCAGCAGCAGCAGCAACAGCAACCGACGCCGCCACCTCCGCCTCAGCCGCTGCCTCTGGGGTTGTCGCCGCCGCCACCCGGCCCTGCCGAGGAGCCGCTGCCCCGACCGTGAGTCCGGGGGCGCCGCTCCCTCCCCGCCCAGACGCTCGGTGCCCTTCTCGGGACTCCGAGCCCGCCACGCCTGGGGGGATCCGCGGAGGCGGCTCGGCCCGAGTCCTGTTGCCTTCCCCACCGCGAAGTTGGGCAGCGGGTTGTTTTCGCTGGGAACCCGGGCGGGGTGTCCCGGCTGGGGGAGAACTTGAGGGAGCCGGGGCCGCCCCGGGCTGCGGTCTGGGGTCCGAGCGGCTGGAGCCGGAGAGGGGTGCTGCGGGGATGACATCATGCTTTTAGGAAGTCTCGGCGGGAGTGCGGGGAGGGGGGGCGGGGAGTGCGGGCGCGTCCAATGGGAGCTGCCTCTTCCTGCCCGGTGACAGTCAGGCTGCCTGCTGCTGGAGGCACTTCCTGTTCTTGTTTCGGTTGGTGGGTGATGCTCTGTGTAGTGACAAGGTCCAAGCATCTCGCGAGAGGCTCTGGAGTCTGCAGGCGTTTGGATGAGTTGTGTTGTCAGGTACACATCGAGCTGCTTAGGTGCTGACTGGTAATAAAGTTGTCCTTTCTTAGGAGCCGTCTGGTTTATTGCCTGTTTTCACTCGGACACATTGGTGAGGGGACGGTTTGGGCAGGGTGCGTTTTACCAGTGTTACAGTCAGGAGTGGTTTTTTTAAACTTTTTTTTTTTTTTTTTTGTCTTTTTGAGACAGGGTCTCCCTGTAGCCCCAGCTGGCCTGGAACTCACTAT